ATCCAGGGATCCCCAAGACAACAGAGCAGCCGGGCAGCTCTCGCGAGAGCGGCTGACGTGGCATGGGCGTTGCCGGGGCAACGGCTCTGCATTCACGTCCCCTGCCTGCAAAAAGCCTCCGGGATGGAGAGGAGTCGTCAGGGTGTGAGAATCACGTGGGCTGTTTTAACGAGGAGAAACCCGTAAGCCACCCATCCACAGGACTACCAGCGATTGCTGTTATCACTGTGAAGCGAGTGATAAGTGCGGGGGCTCCTGCTAACGACACGGCAACAGCACTATCGGCAGCGGGGCGGGGCTGATCAGTCACCCCATTAAGGCCGTCTAGTGGTGTTAGTGAGCCTGCTGGTTTGCCATGCCAGCACCTCGGCAGAAGGCTACCACCACAAAAGTTGTGGAGACCCAGACAGAGGTCCCATGTTCACGTAAAAGGAAGACTGCAGCCAAGAAGAACGTGGAGACCCAGACTGAGGCCCAAACACAAGACACTAGTGTGCAGGTCACTGGCTGTGATGACTGCCAGAGACGGCCTCTGCAGTGCCAGGCAATGAAGGCAGCACTTGTATAAGACGTGACCAGCGAAATGACTTACTCAGCCTTGTGGTCATCCTGGAGGAGGAGGTGGAGTGGCTGAGGACCACAAAGGAATGTGAGAGGGAGATCCATTGGTGGTGCCAGTCCCTATCACCCCAAACAACCTGGCACACAGCTGAGACTCCACGTGGAGCACGTCACCCCCTGCCACCCTGCAAACAGGTGGTAGAGGGGAGCCAGAGGGCAGACAGTGCTGCAGCGAGCCTCCTGTCCTCTCCTCCCCCTAACAACAACAGTGAAGAACTGGTGGGGGGGAGGGGGATTGGGCAGTGGCAAAAGCAGTGTAACTCTCCTAGAAAGGCACCAGGGTGATATTCAACAGACAGTGGTGGACCCTGCCAATGCCAAGCAGAGCAAGGCAATTTGAGAGAGGAAAAGTGGAAACGGATACCAGCTCAGCAAAGTGGGCATTCCCCATCTCAACCATCCTCAGCTCCCCAGCTGCCCCTGCGCAATAGGTTTGAGGCCCTGAAACTCAAGGGAGAGGTGAATGGGGTGTGGAGGGAGGTCCACGTGTGAGGTTGCCTAGGCTGAAGCAGTCAACCCCACAACTCAAGACAGCCTCCACCCAAGACAGAAGGGTCGCTGTTGTATGTGACTCCCTGCTGAGAGGAACAGAAGGCCCTATATGTCAGTCTGACCCTACCCATAGGGAAGTGTGCTGCCTCCCTGGGGCAGGGATCAGGAACATTACTAGGAAACTTCCTGGACTGATTCACCCTTCTGATTATTACACCTTACTGATATTCAGGCTGCAGTGATGAAGTCGCTGAAAAAACCCTAAGGACTATCAAGAAAGACTGCAGGGGATTGGGGGGTGGGGGAGGGGAGGAAGTAGTTGATGGGGCAGGCATGCAGGTGTGTTTTCTTCTATACCTCCAGCGGCAGGGAAGGATACTGAGAGGATCCAAAAAACCCACCTCATAAATAAATGGCTTAGAAGTTGGTGCAAACACAGGAATTTTGTGGTTTTTTTGACCACAGGGCAATTTACTCAGCACCAGGCATGGCAAATGCAGATAGAATCCGCCTGTCTCCAAGGAGTAATAGGATCTTAGCCAAGGAACTGGCAGCACTCATTGAAAGGTCTTTAAACTAGGTATGAAGGTGGAAGGGGACAAAATGAAGGCTGCTGGGGTTGAGTGCATCGTTCAAGGGGTCATACCAAGCTTGATGAGCAAAAAGTGTGGAATACAAAGGGATGGACTAGGGCAGGGGGATGCCACTGTTCTAGGGGAAGCTAGATCCTCTGTAAAGGCTGTGAGAAGGAAAACCCAGCAGAAGTGCCTTTATACCAATGCACACAGTCTGGGAAATAAGAAGGACAAGCTGGAAAACATGATGCACTTGGAAATTTATGACCTTGTTGCTATCACAGAAACATGGTGGGTGAAAAACAGTAGGAAGACATTCTACAGGAACAGTGTCCAGAAGAGACAGGTCAAAGCGAGTGTACCTCCTCTGGTAAATATAAAAGGAGATCTGGCTTCAACAGATGAAGAGAAGGCTGACGTACTGAATGAGTTCTTTGCCTCGCTCTTCACTGGTGGCCAGGATTCTCACATCCTTCTCACATCCTCAAGTTCTGCATCCCTAAACCTCTAGGTGGGGACTGGGGTGGTAAATCTCCCTCTCCTACTGTAAGGGCAGAGCAAGTCTGAGACTGCCTCATGGTACTGAACGTGTACAAGACTATGGGGCTGGACGGCGTGCATCCCAGGGTTCTGGGAGCAGATCCTCCTGGACAACACGCTTAATCACATGAGGAATGAGCGTGTGATCAGAGACAGCCAGCATGGAGTCACCAGGGGAAGGTCATGCCTAACCAGTCTGGTGGCCTTCTATGATGGAGTGATGGCATTGGTGGACAAGGGGAAGGCAACTGATGTCATTTACCTGGACTTGAGCAAGGCCTTTGACATGGTCCCCCACCACATCCTTATCTCCAAATTGGAGGGATGTGGATTTGATGGGTGGATCACCCAACAGAAAAGAAATTGGTTGTGAATGCCCCATCCCTAGATCCCCACGAAGGCTAGGATGGATGGGGCCCTGGGCAACCTGCTCTGGTATTAAATCGGGAGGTTGATGGCCCTACCTGTGCCAGGGGGGTTGGAGATTCATGATCCTTGAGGTCCTTTCCAACCTGGGCCATTACGTAATGCTGTGACAGTTCCAACCACAATGCATTTTGCAACTTTTATGTCATTACTTGATTTGCAATTCAAACAAAAATTGGACGGGTTTTCAAAATTAAACATACAAACTATATGCTTATATTGGTCTCTCTGGAATACCTGCTTTGAAAGCGCTAAACAAATGCTGAACACCAAAGATTAGGATGTCTGCCTTGCACAAGGTCATTCTGATTTAGGATCCAAACCCAACTATGAACTACAGTCTGTCTTCAGAAGTCCAAGATGCAAATTACTTTTCAGAAACTCTTCATTCCTTGCCACTGTTCAGTTGACAAAATTCTTTTCGATGTTCCTGAATGCATTTTCCAATTTTAACACTGAGTCAGTATTAAGAATAGCAGCTTTTCAAAATATTTCATTGTGAAATCATTCAAAATTAACTTCCTAACATAATTTTTGGTTTCTCCTTTAATTATGTTATTTATAACTAATTAGCATCTGTTGACTTTCAGTAATAAAATGATACTGTTTTAGGCCCATAGTTTCGAATGCTGACTTCTTACTAAAAATTATGCACCCGGGAACCTAAATCCAGTTCTTTAGTTTTAAGGTAGCTAGAGAATTTAGAGGCAACTGAATTCATACATTTCCAGATCAGCACAAAAACACATGAGCCTTTTACTGCAGTTTAATAGTGGCTTTCTTGAACTAGTTTGTAATCTCTTTGGAATCTAGGTTGGTGATTCTGTGATCTCAGTAACTGTAGCGGCATTTGTCAGTTAGTGGCTGCAGATGCAATTAAAAAAAAAAATGACAAAAAGATTTTACTGTAAATAAGCAGTTTCTCAGCAAATGCTATGCATTTTCACGTACTCTGAAGCAGCTCAAGATGAAGTACTTAAAGCTTTATTATTAAAACACTAAAAGACAAGTTTACTTGCTATCTTAAGTTTGTTCACAGCACTCATGCTCCTGCCAAATGTATCTCATATGCTATCACTGGAGTGTTGTAGAATTTATAAGGAGTGCTTTGAACAGCCAAAAAACATGCCTACCTGAAAGATTATGATGAATATTTGTCCTTCTCATATCAATTGGCTCCACATTTATCCCTGATCTTTCATTCTTGAGTGCCTCAAAACCGTTAAGTAGCCTTCTGGCTGTTGTAATGTTGTCACATGTAACAATGATCTTTTAAACCTCGCTTTCCCACAAATTCTCTACTGTTACCTCCTTTCCTGGTTACAGCCAATTGCAGAATCCATCCTGTGTGGCTGAGACATAGGTTTCATCTCCAGGAATGTAGTCCTAAATGTGACACTACTAGAAAGGTGTACCAACTCCTGTGTGTCAGTATATTTGCTCAGGTAACACAAACACTGCAGCACCATTGCTGCCTATCCTACTTACTGCAATACATCTCTCTCTTTCCTTGATATCTGGAATGCTGATTCAGCCATAACCATTCACTATCCTACAGCAGACATCTTTTTCCCAACTCACTGCTCATTTCCCAGTCTTCTCTGCTCTCTTACACAAGTTGTTCTTTGATTTAAAAAAAAAAAAAAAAAAAATCATACTTGCTGTCATTCTGAGAGTCTTTTACAGTCTCTTTCCTGACTCTATCATCTCTCATTCAGAAGTTATTAAAACTTTGAATCCTGGCATCTCCCAGTATACCTATCAAAGTTTCAAGCAAAGATCATTTACAGTCCCATGATCAGGAACTTTCAATTTGGAAAACAAAAACAAAAACAACAACCTCAAATCAGCAATATAGATCACTTAGTGAAATTGATCCTTTAAGTCTTTTTCATTATCAACAATGGAAGTTGACAGCTTTCATACTGAATAAAAGTGTTAACACTGCTCAAGCCGCTGCCTATCATGCTCCCTAATACAGCCCTCCCCCTCACCATGCTTTGTCAGTTAACATCCAGAGAGTCACACATTTCGGATATTTTATTCAGTCCTGTGAAGCATGAAGCAATTCTTCAGCTCAATCTGAGCAACTTAATCCCTGAATTAGGAGACAATTGCTAAGCACTACAGTACTGCTAAGCACTACAGTACTACAAAGTCAGTCAGCAGACACAAATTTCAGCATGACTCTGTATTCACCTGTTTGCTTGCTCATTTATTCCTTCCCTCTCCCAAATCTTGTAAATTTTCACATGTTATTTTATTATACTGTTTGATGAATCTTACAGGCATCTGAAAGAGTACATGCAAAGCATTTTGTCCATCTGATCACATATGAGCACGTACCTTAGTAAAGTTGTTCAAGTGACCTAGTTTCCTCATATTTGATACGCCTTGTAACTTGGCCACATTTTGAAGAATCTCTCTCATATTATCACAGGGTTCTGGAAAAAAGATGGGTTATTAGAAGACAATTCAAAAAAAATCAAATCTAAACATGCATCCAACATGCAGTTTCCAAAGCATGGTATTTTCCTCCTCCTAACTAAACATGCTGCTTGAAGGAAAATGATCTGCATCAGTTGGATTTATGTCTAGGATCAAAGCCAGGTACACCCAAGTTCCTTAAAATAAGTGATGAAGCCTAAAATAGGAGTCTCGCTCCTCTTCAAAGCAGATTTTAATCAATATCTTAGGTTTACAAAAATATTTGTTTGATGACTCAAACTCCAGTCTAGTATCTCTTAACTAATTGTTATTCCCTCTGTATTTTAAAGACAATTAGTAAACTCACAGGCTTTCCACTGACGTAAAAAGACATTTTATTACCTCACCACATGACTTTATTTCCTCCCCCTCTCCAAATAGAGTCAGTGGGATTTTTGGAAGAAAAAACTTTTCTGCTCTCCATATTAACAAGATTCAGACACCAGCTGTTGGCCCTATATTTTGCTGAGAAACAGAAAAAGCACGACCAAACATGGGAGAAGACATATTTTCCTGTTTTAGGGAATAAGACCGGGGGTACACACAGAGTAGGACAAAAAGCACAGAACAGACCTGGTCACAGAGATGCACACATCTACTATATCAAACTCAGCAAGCTCTGTACTCAGCAGAACCCAGTTAGAACAGTTTTTAACAATTTTCTTGATTGCAAGATTGTTGTGGATCTTTGATTAGACACTGTATTTTGTAATACCAAGCACTACAATGCTGTCAACAGCACCACATTTTGAAATAAAATACAAAGGATGGAGACATGAACAACTGAAATCTACTGTTACCAAAAAAAAAGAAAAAAAAAACAAAAAACATTCTTAAGAAAAAGCTTTGAGAGTTCCAAACACTGAACATCTGGAAAGCTGTGCTTTTTGTGCCCAGTGCAAATTTCCAGTGAAAGAAACTTGCTTCCTACCATAGCATAGGCAGCTACAACTAAAGTTGTGTTGTGTTAATAAAACTCTCATACTTCCCCATTCATTCTGCAAGCGTATTTGTATATTTTTCTGTAAGGAAACCAAAAGCAGATACGGAAGAAAGCACCTTCTCACTACCTTTCTATACTGCAAGCTGAATTTGTTACCAGCTTCTCTAGCTTATGATCAGTAAGTTTAAAGAAGCAGACATAACCAGTAATCTGAAGGATGTATTTGGAACATAATAGAGAGCAAAGAGGTTTCAGGAATTCTAGGCAGAATTTACTTAAAAGACAGATGACTACATGGAAGCTCCTTGATTCTGGTATGTAACCCTGTTCTAGATGTCTCAGCTCCTAATGTAGTCCACAGAGATCTCATCTATCAACCTCTGCATCCTAAAAATATTAAATAGCTGCAAGGCGTTCTCTCTAGAGTAAGATGAATCAATTGGTTCAACTACACCGATAACAGGGACTTAAGCTACTATCACACCCCATAATTAGGATTTTTTAAATTATTTTTATTTTTTAGATAAAGGATCAGCTGGATTTTTAGATGAGGTTGATCCCCACTTAAGAAGCCTGTCAAGCATCACCAGTTTTACACAAAATACCCTCTTCCACAAACCAGCAATACATAGTTAGCTATCAGGAACAGCCACCCTCTCTTTCCAAATATGATGCACAGTGAAATTAAGCAATAAGCTTTACATTTCAATTGGAACATTTCTTTGTATCTGTTCAGACCCTCCTTTCCTTCTCTGTAACAGGGACAGCAAAATCTTCAATAAAATCACAGGAATTAAGAGAACAAAACTTTCTGTCTGTTCCAAGTACAGGATTCTTTTGTACAGCTTACTTTTCCAGGACTTCACTGAGTTTCAGCTGTTTGCAACAAATCAAGTCTTACAGAGAAACGTCAAAGATAAGCAGGTTGGAACAGTTATAGCAGTACAAATAGTTCATACCATAACCCCTAATTTCAAGGGAACAGAAGAGGAAAACAACTTCCTCATAAGTTGATTTCTCTGAAAATAGTTTAGCTGATTTCTACTTCTTGGCCTGTTATGGGTTTGGACCTGTAACATAACCCCATTTATGCCACAAGAAAGATCAGTAAGAGCAGTCTCTGAGCTCTCCAGAACATTCTATGAAGAACAAACAGAAACAATAGCTTTCCTAAATTAGTAGAAACATGTACGTAATTTCAGATTTTGAAAATGCAGACGGTTACACATGGAAAGTAAACCTCCAAAAATTAAGCTTACCATATGGTCAGAAAAGATATGAGATCACCTAGTAAATTTCTGCATTATCACTAGGAATAAACATTTCTGTTTGGTTGCCTGATGTTGTGGGCATAACTTGGAACCAAGTAACATGTGCCCTACAACAGAGTAGACAATGTGGAAATGAAGAAGCTAGGACATGATTACATCATGATGTCCAATTATAACAATTCCGTAGCAGTGACATACCTCTATGAAATAGCTGCCCAGTTTAAACGTGCAAAATCATTTTATTCTACGCACATGAAAAAGAGCAGTTAGAGTATCTTTTCTAATATCCTTCTCTTTCTGAAACGGTGTAACTCCTACAGACAGGAAGGTTTGATGGAAACCATCTCTGCAGCGCTTAGCAGAGCAGCCAAGTGTTTCCCAGAAACACAGCACTAGCATACAAATACTTTGAAGCAAGATAGGGACCTTAGCAACAGATCTGCAACACTGTGAGAATTCAACAGGCATTCCTGCTATCAAGTTGATCATACTAATACAGCAAGTTATCTTGCTCACAGTTCGACGAAATCAAGAGCCAAAGCAGTGGAGGAAAAAGAACACCGCAAAAACCAAGACAGTAAAGAAATAAATACTCCTTAAAAGCACACTCTCATCAGAATGAACTAAAGAGTTATTTTGGATCAAACTTGTCCATTGAAGTCTTGCTTTAGTCTTGGGAAGAGTTGTTTCCATTCTGTTTTCTAAGAATTGTGATGTTTTAAACTCAAGAGATATTTATCCATTTTTTCATGTTCTTTGAAATAGATGATACATTTCCAGGAGTAGAAAGTATATTCAGATATTCCAACAAATTTTTTAATTAAAAATAACAACAGTAGGAAGGTAGGCAGACCCATTGTTGACATAAAGTAATTTAAACAAAGTAATGTGATTTTACCAGTGGAGATGCAGCTTTTTTGTTTTGTCCCTTCCTCTAAAGGGACTTGAAAATAGATAAAATGCACTTTGGATTCTCTCCAACAAGCAACAGTACTTTCTATTTATCGAAGATCAGACCCAATACTGCACACCTTATTACCAAAAAGCACCATTCAACAACCCTAAAGAACAGTTTAGCCCTGACATACAAAAAAGCCCTATGGCATGCAGTCTGAGAATGACCTCCCAGAGAATAAATATCCTGGCCTTTATACTTCATTATCAAGCTTAACAGTACATGTTGGTGTCAGCAAGGACAGGATTTTTTTGTTTGTTTGTTTAATATCTCATGTCAGACCACTGCAGCAGACATTTCTTAGCTTTGGTTATTAATGCACCCTTTTTCCTCAGTATCTCTTGCTTTTCTATCTGAAAAAGATGAAGAGAAGCTACAAACTTTTTAGACCCCCACAGCAGTCTATTATTTCCCCACTTTACCTCATTTATCACTGAGATGCTGACTCATTGTGAGTCAGCCCACAACAACAACAACAACAAAATATTTTCACATTCTTTCCCATGGTGATTCTGAGGGTGGAGTTGTGCAAAATGACTGAGCTGATCAGAGCTCCCTTCAGACAAAGAATACACAACTCCTTCCCTTACCTTCTTTCCCCCTGCCCTGTCCCCTCTGTAGGATACACCTTATCCTTTACACTACTCTGGCATCTGCCAGCTCCACCTAAAAACATTTCTGCTTAACTAACTGCAGTCTACTTCTCATTCTTTTGGTTGCATTGGTTTTCTGCTGGGTTACTGGACCCAGTCCTGAAGTCATGGAACAAGCTACACAAGTCTCAGACACCGAAACATTCGTAGACAGTGGTGGAACAAAGACATGCCCCTTTCAGCTGAAGTGACTCATTAGATAAAAGTCAGGCACTTTATTTTTACCTGCACATCTACACTCGGCAAGTTGTCCTGATCAACATATGGAAAGCCACTGTCTCAAATCTAAAAGCTTGATATATACAAAACTTCCAAGCCAGGACATCTGTGTTTTGCAACAGCTTAGCCTTATGATCATTACTGTCTGATTTTCTATGTATCTGTTTTTCCTTTATGGAAGTAGCAGATATCTATGTTGTGGGTATTCTCATTACACCAAGCATATAGTTCTTAATCCATAGCTGTCTGTACTGAATAACAGTGCAGCATAAAGTCCAGTACATATCATCTTTAGCCCACAGCAGTACTTGATATTTCAAAAACCCTAGCCTCAACACTTCAGTCACTCTACACCTTAAAGTAATTCACAGATGCATATACATCAAGTCTTCAATGTTGTTTCATAATGTTTGTTCTTAAACTCCTGTGGCCTTTTAGCATTTGACTCATTTTTTCATCCCTTCAGGACTGTAACAGTTTTTTCCTCAGTGAGAAATCACAATGCATTCTGACAGATCTCATTCTCCTGTGAGAAAATAACATCACCACAGAGCTCCAGTTACACAAAACAACGCTCCATCCAATGCAGAAATGAAACAGGACCAGTAACAGCTATGTTACCAGGTGTGATGACTCCCCTCCTCCCGAGCCTGGCATACATTGCTGACCACATGCACTAGCAGCAAGTCAATTAATTATTCTGTTATGCATATGCCAATAACAAGCAAACAAGAATGGCAGGCTTTAACATACAAATAATTCAGTAACTCTGAAGTTAGGCATGAGTTAAACTGAGGAGTGTATACTTACATACACATTACCTCTGAGATGCCAGGTCAGTGGCTGAGCACAGAAAACGCAACAAGTAACACCAAGTAAACTCAAGTGAAAGACAGCACTATGGCTGCTATCACAC